ATGTATTAGGTCGGTCCATAATTTTTGAGAAATTTTACATGTATTGGTGTAAAATTTTTTGATAAGTATTGAAGCTTTCCAAGATGTCCTGCAACCTAGCACACAAGCTCGCCTATCCGACAGGCTAGCCACCTCGTTTGCATGTTACTTTCTTTAGCTAGACTTCCAATTTCTTTGAGACCTACTTCTGAGCCTCTTTCTTCATGACTTCAGATTAGAATCTTCCACGAGCAGGGCTATAAGGAGGATTACCCAGAGGATAGCTGAGGGCACGCTCCCTCAATCCACGGTGCTCTGGTGGTTACCTCTACTCAGGGTTCCCTCCTTTTATTCGAAGATGTTCCACACTCCAACCACCCCGTGACTGACAATCTCGATGCCCTATCCGGCGCCATTGAAAAGGAATCTGAACAAAGTGAGCACTGTTTGTTAGAGCGCTTTTGGTGTTACAAGGTGAGTGTACTGAGACATTTCGATAAAGTCGTTAAGGTTTGAATATGTGGAGTTTGTCTCTCCCATGCTCTGAGCCCGAATCAGCTCTACACCCGATCTGACATCATCATGTTCCTCTTGGTTTCCCATAGTTCCTTCGAATGACCATCCATCATACTCATCGGTGATGTGGTGATGGTATGTAATGCAGTGTGCTAATAAATCCGCAAGCCGCAGTAGCTTAGCTTAAAGATTCGGGAGTTATGACAGCAAAAACCCAACTCCCTCTGAATTCGAACTTCCTGAGTCGTTGGCGCAATACGGAGAGGGCCTTTGCGCTGAAGAACCGGCACCAACTAATACCAGTGTCAGTGATGAAGATAATCGTTGACAGCTTGATGGCAACGCCTTCAACTTGAAAGCAAAGTAAGAAAATCCTTTTTCTGAGGTCGTTTGAGTCCACCTTGCTAAGAAAATTCATAAAAAATTGGAGACTCTCGGGCGGTCAGTTCTTTTAGCTCCGCCTTGTAGCACTAATCCTGCGTCAACGAACGACTATCCGCTCTCCTCTCTCAATCACCTTCTGGAGAAGAAATCTCACTTGAATCACCATAAAGTCAAAATCGACATCCAATATTTCTTCGATCAGAACTCTATGAAATTCTACAAGAGAGACACTGAATACCCACCCTCGCATTGGTTATATGTTGGTAATAATGGTGATGTGTATACTGTGCTGAATAAATACATCAGAGAAATAAGATAAGTAATTAAGTCGAAAAACACCAAAGGTTTCTCAAAATTATGCGACCGACCTATTACTTGATTTTCCACTTTTATCCATGTATATCTGTTTGTGAAATTGTTCATTCTAATCGTAAAATTTATATGATTTTATTTATGCTGTAACAATAGTCGTAATAAATAAATAAATAAATAAATAAACAAGCTTACCTCGAGCCGGATATGAAGCATCGGAAAAGCGTTTCACCAGACCGAACTCTGAGCCCCTAATCCGATCGAACGCTCGTTTTTTCGGAAGCCGAAGTCTGGAGATTGATAGTCGGGTCGAAGCTCGCTTCTTACGCCCAGCCGTTCCCCTCCGAATTCAGCACGTGCTATTCTGTCGAATGCACGCTTTCGTCGGAAGCCGAAATCGGCCATGTCAAGTCTGAAATTTGCTCACAATAAGGAAATCTCTGTAGAAAAAGCTCGAACTCAATTCGCACCGGTCAAATGCTCGTTTAGCGACTGCTCGTTTGATGAGCCCGAAATCGTTGCTTTCAATGCGATCAAACGCCCTCTTTGTGAGCCCTGGATGGCGGCGGGTTCCATGACGTCACTGCAAAATCACATTTCTGTTCTGTTCCAGGTCTCTGGCTAAGAAGATACTGACTGTAACCGAAAAAAAAACTTACGATAGCTCATCGTCAGAGCTCAGAACATATGGATAAGCCGAACATACTGCTAATAAAGCAATCTAAATACAATGATTTCGAGATGATAGGCACGAATTGTTTGGAGGCAGGGTCAACCGTGCGTTGCGCAGATCAAAAATTTTACGACCCCCGTCCCCTTTAGGCGTATCTCGATGCGATCCCCTACCCACCTACCATCAGCCGCTAACTCGCTCCACCCGACCTTCCTCCCCCCTCTAAAACGACCCCTCACCTCTTATACTTGTTTGGTTATGAAACCAATACAGAAAACCATGACAATACAATACAACTCCGCCCACTTTTCCAATTCAAAAAAGCCCGTTGAAATAGATTTATTAGTAAAACTGCAGTTCGTGGGGGGGGGGGACAATCAGTACGAGAGGACGGGTGGGCGTCATATGGCGCGATCCCATTGGCATTGGAGCGCACAGGCCGTAGTTGCCACATGGGCCGGTCGTCCACGCAACACATTTTGTCCCGTTCCTCTTGCCTTGTTATAAGGCCAGCGAAGCTATCCGCTCTTTTTTAAATCCTTGGGACTCAGCGGTTTTTGAGACCCAAATTATCAGATTGATCAATTGCAGAAGTCTTGTAGTTGAGGATTGACGCCTGTTTCCGACCGCAACGATGAGGCATTTGTCTACCTGTGCGCTCTAATGCGCAATGGAGGTGCGCCATTGACCGCCCGAGAGTACCTCCTTCGGGACTTTTACCCTGGCCGGATGCAAATAATCATTGTAAGCGACTCATTTCAGTTCACTTCTTATTAATGCCCGCGCATGCCCTACATTACGCACATCCTGCTCACGTCCTAGGCAATTCGTAGTATGTGATCGTCCATGGGCGTCATCGTCCTGGGCTCCTACACGCTTGCGCCTAGGAAAGAATGTTTATACCCTGGTTCAGGACCGTTTCCTCGTACCCAAAAAGAATGCTGGGATCACCAAGCAATCCAGCTAGCACCGGTCCTTGCATCAGTACTTTTAAATGAATCGATTATCGATCGCCATCAAAACTCCCTTACCTTATCCCTAGTATTGAGGAGCTCAATGGATTGCCCGTCCCCTCCCGAACTGGAGTTTCACCAAATCCGTCAAAGAACGACAAATCCTATAATTTTTCTGATTTTCATTGCCTGATTCCTTCTTTTCCCTGGTGAGGCTCCACCAAAGTCATCACTAAACTCCCTCTCTGCTATTTTTCTTTTACTTAAACCAAATAAATTGCGACACCCCCCCCCGCCGACCCCCTCGCCCCCTTCCAATGAACCTCAAATATGATCGTACCATGAGAACTGCGCATACCGGCAGTTGACCACCCTCCTTCGTGAGCTAAACTACGATCTTCAGGAACCAGCTTACCCGAAATAAATGCATAATCGTAACAACGGGGAGGAGTACTGAGCCATTGCTGACTTTATTACCTGCAAGCGATTGTTTACAAATAAATAAATAAATTCCATAGATGTGATTATGACGGCGAAATATACGCAAAAATATGGTATGTCACGATTTCGAAGAAAAACGAGATCTACTTGAAAACGAGAAAAATTCGAATGAAAGCACAAGCAAAGTGGTAAGCAAGTCGAGAGAGCTTCGATTCTTATGGAGGGAAATTTCAGAGAAATTCAGGAAATTCGCGGAATGGATTATGGTTCCTGCATCTGCCAGCGATTAACAATGGCCTTTTCATCAGGATATGCTTCGAAATTCGCCGGAGGAACTTGGGATGGAAAAGCTGGGGAATCGATAGAGTCAAAAATGATGGTTCAAATTCGAAAAGGCCGAAATTGGGTACCATCGTTGGAAGAACGTAACAAGGTCAATCCCTAACCATTGGTGGCTCTGGAAATACCACGAACATCCGGCCCCCCCCTTTCCAAGGTGTCTTCTTGATACGCCCCTACCCTTGTCAGGGTTTTTACGCGACCCCCGGGTCGTCTTCAGGGTTTTTTGACCGCGTTTTGAATATGTTGCCGCAGCCTATGACTCTTTTAAGCTGATCCCACCGCCTGCAGCTATTCGGTCAATGCTCTCAGCTAATGCTCTCGTCATCACAAGGCAAATGAAACCTTCGTAAATGATGTGCTATTGAACGAGGGAAAACATTCTGAAAAGCAAGGCATGACGAGAGCCACACGGCTGCAAGTTTAGGCTAGTTGAATAATAAGAAATTGATTAGTTTACTGCGTAGGAACAAGTTATAGGACCGCCCAACAGGCGTATAGGTTATCCTTCCTGAGCCGTAATAATCATTATATAAAGGCGAATAATGCCTTTTACAAAAAAATGTACATCAATCATAAGCTTGATAAATAACCATGAAGAGAAATTTTGAAGAACAAAACGATCAGTGACGTTGCGCCGTCTGAACCGCATGTCTCTCAGGCAATATCAGTGTCGATGACAGTTGAAGCAACATCGGATTGCGATCACTCGCATTCTAGGTCTTGGCTTGGAAGTCTTGAAAAGGCAGTAACAGAAAAGAAAAGCATTAAAGTGCAATCAACTGTTTGTCATTCGCTTGCTTCAGCTTGCCACCGTTGACATCAAGCTTTTACGATCGGTTTGAGCCTATGCATTGGGAACGAGCCAAGTTGATGGCGGCCGCAATTCAGCCATGGGGTGTTTTTTTCATAGGGCACTAAACGCAGTACCACGAGCACAAGAACTTTCTCATCTCCTTGTTTTTCGAGCTCCACCAGACTACCAGCCTTCAGATTTCTTGGGTGCTGAAAACGATTCCCGAAAACTTCCTTAATGTTTTTATTTTTCAGGGACTTTTCATTTTATTTTTCGTATATTTTCCATAGAACAACTTCTTGTTTAGATTCTTCCTTAAAGGCAAACCCCGGGATTAGCCCGACTAGTAGGAGGGATTCCACAGGGAAATTGTAAGGTCCGTACGTAACTGGATCACTCCAGCTTCGTCGCAAAAACTGCGCGGTTAGGGCGCTAGTCCTTACGGGCCCGCAACCATCGACTCCCTTTCCAACGCATCCTACCCGCCGCGAGAGGTGGTGAGATCAGCGTGCATTGATGTAGAGATCAGTGTGCTCTCTCAAACGACGTGCTCTCTCGCGTATTTTGCCCCTTCTTTGACCACCCTTTCTCGCCATCGTACCACATTCTACCCTACTGAAGGTTAAGGCCTTAATTGCAGCGTTCCCAAGGATATCTCTTGCTTTCCTTTCCACTTTCAGGTCGTTCCGCAGCTAAGCTATCACCACAAAGCGCTGATAGCACCTGTTTGATCCCGGAGTTTGCCTTTAAAAGGATCCCCAGTTAGAGATGAACTTCCCAAAGCGCTTCCGTCCTTCGTATATTGCTAGTGAGGTGTGCACAATGTGTTCAACGCGTGACGTTCTCATCAGTTATTTCATTGCGATCTCCGTCCCGTCACCCATGGCTGTGAGGTAATTTCCAATTGAACTTTGTCCTTTCGGGGGTGAACCCTTCAGCAGAACCTCACGTGCTGCTCCAAGAAGTGATCGATTCCCCTTTGTTTGCGCTTTAACACCCATCAACTGTGAAAACTCATGCTCACCAAACCTGCTACCAGGAAGGTCTTTCAGGGCGTGACGAGCTTTTTGAAAACGGTCTTTTGCATGATATAGGGGCAGATGCGGGGACCACAGAACCATGTTTAATTTTTCCTGAACGGCCCTCTGAATACCAGAAAAGGGGGTCCCTAGTTCGATTCCTCTTGGTGACAAATTTTTGCATTTCGAGTTGACGTTCCAAAATTCGCGCAAAATGGAGTTAGCATGAATAATTAGTACCATATTCATGATTAGGACCGTCAGTAACCCTTACAAATAGACTTTGATTAAAAAACTGGTGAAAAAGGTGTGACACCACAGTGGGGCTGCTTGGTGTCACACCTCTTACACCAATTTTTAAGTCAAAGTCTTTTTGTAAGGGTTACTGACGGTCCTAATCATGAATATGGTACTAATTATTCATGCTAACTCCATTTTGCGCGAATTTTGGAACGTCAACTCGAAATGCAAAAATTTGTCACCACGAGGAATCGAACTAGGGACCCCCTTTTCTGGTATTCAGAGGGCCGTTCAGGAAAAATTAACATGGTTCTGTGGTTCCCGCATGTGCCCCTATATCATGCAAAGGACCGTTTTCAAAAAGCTTGTCACGCCTTGAAAGACCTATTCCTGGTTACGAAGGCGCTTAACCTCGCGAATGTGTCAGCGTTCGACTTGAAAAAAAGCTAACACTGTAATTTCTTTGTTCAATTGAAGGCAGTGCTCCGCCGCGTGAGTGGATGGCACCGGAAAAATAGGTCTATTCAATGCGCCTGGGAGAAGGCTAAAGGAAGCCGAGTGCTAACAGTCGCCGCGACGTAAGCAGCGTAGTGTGGCGCAGTCTCAAAAAACCCGCCCGCCTCGAAATCGCTCGCCCGCCATCTCGAGGTCCGGAATGCGGCTTATAATATCTTGTCTTTTGCTATTTTTAGAACGCATCTGTAGTTTGTCGGCTATGTACCTTCGCGACCCACACATCCGGTTAAAGACAGGAAGCAGATGCTAACTATCGCAGGTTTCTGACGGGTTGTCTCTGTATGCATTGACGTGACACTTGGCCGGCACGAATTTAGGAGCCCCAATTTGTGACACTGCGATTTGAGGCCAAAATTTCATGACTCACTGTCTCTTTGTTGCTTTCAAGAAGCTGCTTTTCCTGAGACTAGTGCGCATGTGATGGTGGGACCTACGGATAGACCACTGGTATGTTGTGTTTGATCGTCGGATTATTCGTCTAGCACTCTTAGCCACTAAGCCACCTCAGTTCTCATGTCTTCTCTCTGGAGCAAAAAGTGGTCGAGCCAGGTAGAATATAGCATTTTTAATTCATGTTTCAGAAAATTATCGTTACAAACTCATGGCGTCAAGAAAAGCATTAATGAATTTGGGTCGTTACCGCAAGACATTGCCTTCTCTTGGGTTTCCGAAATGAAAGATCTGATCAGATTGTTTGAAAAATTTCGAAGAAAAATGAAGTGAATGGCGTTACAATTAGCTTCTCCAACCAACAGGGTGAGACGATAGCCTAGAAAGGGAATTGCGCGCTTCAAGTAGTGGTAGATCAACCTTTTTTAGAGAAATACAGAAAACAGAAATGCTTTCAAGGCAGAAATCACGATGGAAAAGCAACCCATTTCAAATTAACCCGGGGATGGTAAGTGGTACACGAAAGAAGGAAAACCATAAGAAGTGGCCCGGAACCCGAGGGAGGCCCTTCTTCGTTGATTTGCTCAATCTGATGCAATTTTTTCGCTGTGCCCGCTGCTTCGCACACTACGGCCTGTTTTACCAGAAATCACTCCCCGCGTTGGATGCCTGCGTGAGTGATAAAATGGTAGGTGGTGAGCGACCCCGCCGACCGCGCCAAGAATGAGCCCTGCTAGGTCGTCGAGGTCGAATCTTTCAGTGCCTAATTGCGCGTCAGTTCGCACCCTCAGGAGGTCCGCCGGTCTCTCAACTAGGTGAATTACTCCTTCTTCGACCTTCATTCTCATCGTGAATTCCTCCTTTAAAATGGTAGGCATGTGTGATAGCTTCCCAAGACAAGAAACGACAAAACGATGTGTTACAAAACCTCCTGGTTGGCAAAAATCGGGAAAGCGTTGAGAAGCATCCTAGTAGACTTTGTGACTTCATCACTAAGAATGAGGCGAAGAAAGCTTGTGACATCAAACAGTTCATTTTGATTTAAATCTTTCTAATAAAGATAATAGATCTGATACAAAGTCTGATTTACGGAGTGCCTACCACCTTTTCGGCGTTTCTTCTTCCCCATGACAGGAACATTTCTCTTCTCATTTGTCCTCTCTCTTTTTCTTTTGCATCGTATTCATCATTCATTCATCGCTTTGCCTCTACTCTACTCCACTGAACTGGAACATCGTGCAACTACTCCTTCTAAAAGCGTCCCCTTAAACGTGGCCGCCCCCAGGCACACTTCTCCTCGGGCAATCCCTTGTCTCCACCTTACCTACCCGTGACTGCCCCTGAGTGTGGTTTGTGTAGGTATGTTTTTCTTCCAGAACTGAAGAATTTTGTGAAACTGTCGGCATGTTTCCTGTTCACAAGGAGTGACGTACTCAAAAAGATAAAGGATGAAGCTTGCGTTGATCATCCCGTCTTGGAATCGGCTACGCATGTCTTTCTCAATTTGTAAATTGCGTAGTGGTTGGCGTTGCGATATGCGATGTGCTCTAATTATTCATGATGGACTTGCGGTGGGCCTGCGATGTCTCAAAGTTCAGTGTTTGTTTGATTTCCGTCGCCGAGGACATAGTCCTGATACGCCAGATTCATCGCGGACCCCGAGGATTGGTAATGTTCTTGGTTGGCCTGGGTCGGACTGTTTCATCGATCCGCCGGCCATTTGATCCCCTGACCTGTTCGGCGGTGTGTGTGAGCGGCCCACTCGCCACTTAACACCCACTGTCCGCCCTTGATGAGCGTACTTATGTTAATTTGACGAAAAATGCAATTAAATTTTCCCCTGTTAGTGATTCCTTTAACATTCTCAAGAAATTCGGTCTCGCCATTCATCAGATCAATATAATATATTGAAATACATTTGGTTGTAAACATATGTCGTCATGATATGTGGATTGGAACAACTCAGGTCAGTGAAGTGGTCCGACCTTCGCGATGTTCGTCTCGTCTCCACGAAAAGTGTCTGTTCCGAATTTGGTCACACATCGCAAGATGACCGTTGGAAAAGACGAGCCGTGAAAGAGGACACATACGACAAGGCGACAATTCATTAACACCGAATGGCATCGCAACAATTTCGCCTTCAAAGATCACGAACAAGACGAAAAGCTCAGGAAAG